TGCTGCACCTGCCACGAAATCTGCGCATGGAGGTTCACAAAGTGCTGTGCCTGCCAGGAAATCTGCACATGGAGGTACACAAAGTGCTGCACCTGCCACGAAATCTGCACATGGAGGTTCACAAAGTGCTGCACCTGCCACGAAATCTTCACTTCAAGAAACAAGTGAAAACTCTAAGCCCAATGGACGGACGATTCCGAGCATGATCCGAGAATGATCCGAGCATGACCCGAGACCGTCTCGCAACCGTCGTTCCGCAGACCTTGACTTGCCAGCTTCGGAGCCACCGGTTCCATTGAAAAATACAGCATTTCGTGCGTTCGCTATCTCTCCGCAACGCATTTTGTATTGCGCCTGCCACGAAATCTGCACATGGAGGTGCACAAAGTGCTGTGCCTGCCACGAAATCTGCACATGGAGGTTCACAAAGTGCTGCACCTACCACGACATCTGCACATGGAGGTTCACAAAGTGCTGCACCTGCCACGAAATCTGCGCATGGAGGTTCACAAAGTGCTGCACCTGCCACGAAATCTGCACCTGGAGCTGGAGTTGCCTGGAGCTTGAGCTGTTGAAACCAGAGCTGGTGTATGAGCGGTGTATGATGACTGGTGTATGATGAGTGGTGTGTGATCAGTCGTGTATGATGAGTGGTGTATGATGAGTAGTGTGTGATGAGTGGTGTATGATGAGTGGTGTATGATGAGTGGTGTATGATGAGTGTTGTTTGATGAGTGGTGTATGATGAGTGGTGGTTGAACAGCTGTTGAATGTCCGTAACACGGAAGTTTTGCACACTAAACTTCCTTTGATCAGACAAACAGAAAGTACACAGTAAGTGCGCTTCAAGTCATCAGCTCCACTCTTGCGGACAGGCCCTTCAAACCACCAACACTGCGACCTGAGAGCAAACGACGTTACGATCAGGACAAGTGACTCGTGCGTTCCAACTGCGCATCGTTTGTCAAGCAGGTGAAGTAGACACACATCAACGTCACGTCCCTTTTTGCGGCAGCCGCGGATCCCGTCGTTTAAGCGATGATGTCGTGGTTTCGTCCCGAACAGTCTCGATGGACGACCCGCGACATGAATTAGTCTCGGTGTGTTGCGCTGAAGCCTCTCTGCCATTCCGCGCCCAAACCTTCCAGGTGCCACAGCGCTTCCAAGACATAGGGCCCAAGAGCAAGACATGTGATTGTCCAGCGCTGTCGAAAAGATATACAGGAAAAGAGAAAGAGAGGGTGGATGCGAAGGAGTGACAGTGTGGATGCGCAGCTGTGATATAGATGTGGAGATGTGTGGGTGATATAAATGTGACGAAGAAAGGGCAATGACCCTGGATTTGGTGCATGGGTTCCACCGCAGTCCAATGCACAAGCTTCGGTTCTTGCAGGCCAACGCCTCTGCCAAGTTTAAAGATGGATCCAGTCTTGAGGAGTGCGTGTGTCAAATAGATGCGGGGGAGCTCGATCCCAGCGCGCGCCCGAATTTTGCGCTGAACCTCGCGCGGGCCGGTCGCAGCGACCTCTACTGGACTCTCGATCACCGGCGCTTGTTGGCTATGCAGATTGTCCGTTGCGAGATGGATTGCTTTGCGTCCCTCGTGACGAGCTTGTGTGTTGAAGGTCCAAGGAGCCGGTTTACACCCAGGGGCGCGCTGGCAGACAGTGAGGTTCGGAGCGTGTGCATAGCTGCTCACCAGTAATCTAGAACTTGCCTACGACCCATATAGAGATCGATCTGCGGCGTTGAGTACGAGACTTCCTCCACAAGTGCATTTCGCGCACTCGACACGCACGATCTCCGCAGCGGGTTGTCCGCGACAAAACTAAATCGCACTCTCGCCTGCATTTCGCGCACACGACACGCACGATCCCCGCAGAGGGTTGCCCACGACCGGGACAAATCGCACTCTTGCCTGCATTTTGCGCACTTGACACGCGCGATCTCCGCAGTGGGTTGCGTTTCGTGGCGGTCCGGCGGCACTGCCCCGGCCTTAAGAGAGAAAGTTAAGAAGAGCGAGAGGTGAAGCTGTGTGATGTAGATGTGAGGATGTGAAGATGAGCAGAGATGTAGATGTGCAGATGTGAAGATGAGCAGAGATGTAGATGTGTGAAGATGAAGATGAGCAGAGATGTAGATGTGCAGTTGTGAATGTAGATGTGAAGATGAGCAGAGATATAGGTGAGAATGTGGATATGCAGAGGTGAAGATGTGGATGAGACGTAGTTCTGCAGATGTTTTTTACGAAGAACACTTCGCAGACGCTCTCGGGAAACAGCGCACTCCGCTGAGCGTCACTGATAGCGGCCGGCCTATCTTTTCTCCTTTCAGTTGGGCGCTTGTGCATCAAAGGGCAGCTACGTGATTCGAACATGCCCTCCGAACTCGAACTGTGCAAAAACGATCCACCGACAGCTCTGGGGTCTTGCGCTTTCAAACACAAAAATGCAAAAAACACAAACAGGAGGCTCCGACTGCTCCTCCTGCTCCTCCTCCTGCTCCTCCACCAGCCTCTCCAACATCGGTGAGCCACTCAAGTCGAACAAGAGGTTGTATATCATATCATATGATTTATGCTGGAATGTTTTTATATTTGGTTGTTTTCTCTTGAATTCTACAACTGAGGAGGTTTGGCGTAAAGCGAAGATTCCATCCCTCGGTACTCGCTTTCCGAGGCGCGGAAGAAGAACTCCAAGGATTCCTCGCAGGCGTAGGGGGGACCGAAGCGACTTCGAGAGATGTGAGAAAAGTCCAAATCGTCGCGAAGAGGCGTACGAAAAGAATCGATAAAAAGTCGCAGAGAGAGAGAGAGAGAGAGAGAGAGATTCTTCGCACGACTATGAAGAAGATGGAATGGGCACGGGCGACGCCGCCCCCTCTTGGGATGCAGTAAAGAAATGAAGAGTGAGGGTTTCACCCTGCTTTTCGGGTGCTTTGCCCTCCCTGCCTGATTGGCGCAGCTGTGTTCTCAAGATATGCCGACGTACTTGGCATCTCTCACCCTTACAAAGCCCTCAAGTGGGAACAATGTGCTTAGTGTGCTTAGCGTGCTTCCCACGTGTAAAGCCTTAAATGGAGCGCTCTAGACCTGTGGCATTGAACGAGACCCTTGCGTTCGTGTTGCTCTCAGGCCAAACGGCTCACGGCCCGCTCTCCAGGCGATCTACTCGCTTCACGTAAAAACTGTCGTAAATTTTTTGCGGCCGCTTTTGTTCTCTTTTTCTCTTGGCTTGCTTGCTTTTTGCTGGCTTTTTGCAAGAAAAGGAGTGGAGTTGTTTTGCTCAACCTTCCTTTCTTTGCCCAGACGACGAAAGCCTCCTGAGCCTGGAGACTTGGTGCGGAGAAAACCAAACGGTCCTCAGTGTTCACGACTTCGAGGAAGGCCGTTTGTGTGGAACGTCACCGTTTGCAAATGTTTGCAATGCCAACTGTTTGCTTCTATTTTTCACCAACGTCTTCCGACCAGTTTTGCTTCTTTTCACAGATGTCATGTTTTATCTTCGAGGTCCTTCAAATGCCCTTGGCCTCAGCATGGTCTGCCCACGTCTGAAGATCGAAAGATCCGAAAAGGACTTTTTCGCCGGTGAGGCCCGGAAGCGTGGAAGTCGTGCACGCTCGATGGACAACAGGCGAGATTTGGTCGTGACACCGGAACGAACAGAAGATGTGACTTTGTTAGAAGAAAAGGAGAAGAGTACTTTGTTTGTTTCACAAACCGATTTAAAATTCCAAAATTCTGCCTTCGCCAGGTTTGAACCACTCCGTGACTCTCGAGACTTCTCCATTCCGATCTCGTCCTTCGAGTCACTTGACGTTAGAGACAGAATCTTGCGAGTCACTTCGTGTCGGCTGCATGCCTTCTTTCGAGGAGCCTATGGCCTGAAGGCAGGTGTCTGATGTCGAAAAGTGCAGCCTCCTGAAGCGCAGCTTAGCTTCCTTCAGCTTCCAGGAGAAGAGCGCAAAGTTGCCTCTCGTCCTTGTCCGGCTTCCCAATGCGCAGGACATTACAGAAAAACCGATTGGTTACCTTTTTTCCCCAGACAGTGTGGGCACTGAGGGTTTCTTGCGGTAAGTGAAAAGCATGTGCTTAGATCGCCGTTCCGTGCGGGCGTGTCCGGCCAATTTGCTGCTATTTACAGTGCATTCCTGCCTCTCGACATCGTCCATGTGCACTTCGACTGTGCAGGCTCGCAGAATCGGGGGGCCCGCGGCGGGTGCTTCTAGCGACTGTGCTCTCGTTGCGCCGCGCGCGTTTTGGTACACGGTGGTCACTTTTTGTGGCAGGCGCAAGGGAAACCTCGTGCTTTGGCGCTCCAAAGTCGACTTTTCTTGACAGGTGCAAGGGATCGGAGCTGCTTTACTTCGAAATGCAATTTTCGTGGCAGGTGCAGCACTTTGGACATGGTGGTGATCGTCGAGGAGCTCAGATTTCGTGACAGGTGCAGTGAATCGTGACTTTTGGACATGTGGCTCGATTGCAGATTTCGTGGCAGGCACAGCACTCTGTGACCCTCGATGTGCAGATTTCGTGGCAGGCGCAGCGCTTTGTGAACCTCGAAGTGCAGATTTCGCGACAGGTACAGCGCTTTGTGAACCTCGAAGTGCAGATTTCGTGGCAGGTGCAGCGTTTGGTGAACCTTGAAGTGCAGATTTCGTGGCAGGCGCAGCGCTTGGTGAACCTCGAAGTGCAGATTTCAAGGCAGGCGCAGCGCTTTGTGAACCTCGAAGTGCAGATTTCGTGGCAGGCGCAGCGCTTGGTGGACCTGGAAGTGCAGATTTCGTGGCAGGCACAGCGCTTGGTGTCTCACTCTCCCACTTTCACTCACTCACACTCCCTCACGCTCCCACTCTCACTCTCACTCACACTCGCGCTCACACTCGCGCTCACACTCACTCTCCCACTCTCACACTCACTCACACTCACTCTCCCACTCTCACACTCACTCACTCCCACTCTCACTCGCACTCTCACTCTCACTCTCACTCTCACTCTCACTCTCGCTCTCACACTCTCACTCTCACTCTCACTCTCACTCTCACCCACACTCGCTCACCCACCCACTCTCGCTCTCACACTGCCTCGCACTCTCACTCTCGCCCACACTCACTCTCGCCCACACTCTCTCACTCACTCACTCACTCAATCAATCAATCAATCAATCAATCCCTCACCACCACCCCCACCGTCACCACGATCCCCGACTTGATCACCACCATCACCTTTCTGGACCCAACGCGTCTAGATCTCTAGACTTTCTGCTTACAGACCTCACACACACTGTTTGGGGTCTCTCGCCGGGATAATTTTCAACATTTTGCGTTTCCCTATTTTCTTTACTCTTCTCTTTTTTTCCGCATAAAAGTTCAAAACAATGTTTAGATGTTGATTTGCAGGTTGAATTCTAAGAAGAAGACGAAGGAAATGACGAAGAAAATAAGAGGTTTCAGAAAAAAGGAAATACACAGGACACTGGAAGGATTGCCAACCTTGAAGTTTTTGCACAAAAACAGGTTTTTCCTTTTTTGCAAAAAGGTTATCGTTTTGGTTGAGTCTCCAAGCTCGGACTGCTTACGATAAATTGAGCGCGTCCAAATTCATTGGAGTCACGACTTCTAGTTTGCGTTCGATGCCACGCGTTGCAAGATTCATATATGCGTATGTGACACACGCATTTTTTCTATATAACAAAAATATATATGTTCTGGCCCTAATGGCCACCTTGGTGATACCCTGACCCCGATCCGATCGGCCGCCCCTTTTTGTCTTGAGACATGAGGTTGCCTGCGCGAACGAACGCTTGCTGCCTATGCTGAATGCCGATGACACTGCTTCTTAATATATATATATATTTACACGCATATAGATGTTCACCCGCTGTTCACCCCGTTGCCGCCTGCCGTCTGGAGATGACATGCACTGACGCCAAAAACATCAACAGCGCCTGCGCCGAAACGCTGTGTCCAAAGCGGACACAGCCGTTTCAAGAAACCTTATTTTTCATTTTTCACAACATTTTAACTAGCCTTTTTCCCGGGTAGAATTCAACATGACAAATTTTTTTGATGGCATCCTTCTTTTCCAAGAAAACAATGTTGTTGATAGACACGATCCAAAGTCAAGGCAGCAAAGTCAAGGAGTGACAAAGTCGACGCATGTACCGTGCATATTGCCTTCACCGACACCTGGTTTTGAAAGGCCAGTGCCTCCAGCTCTCGCTAGTGCTGTTGCTATCGCTAATGCAGAAATATCTGTAACAATTTCCTTTTTGCTTTCAGGTTCTCTCTGCACATTTTTCTCCAAGGTGGACCGGAGAAGCTGGAGAAGACTCTCGGCGATGCCTCCATTGTCTCTGTGTCCTTCGGAGGAGGTGAAACCGCGAAGGGTGAGACAAGCCTGTAAAGTGGGTGAAACAAGGTGAAAGGGAAGAGGCCCAAAAATGCAGGATGCGCGCGACAGGGATCAAAACGTTGCAAATGTTTATAATCTCATCAAGAAGTGCCACTGGAGCTCTTTCTTGCCTGACGACTCCTGAGCTGCAGGTCTGGCCCCAAATCCGGACGGGGGCCATCTCACATTTTCTGCTTTGATCTTTGCGCCTACGACGCGCGCACCTTTTCAATTCATTTGCATTGCCGCGTTTTTGTGCGCAAAGCATTCTGGCATGATGCCAGCACCCATTTGGCCATTCTTCAAAGAGTATCACTTTCAGAAATTTGATGAACTACGTCTCTACCTGGAACCACAGGGCTACTGATCATGATTCATAGGACCTGGCACATCCTGCGCTTGTCAGCCGCACACGTCAGGGTCTGTGTTGAGCCCAGATAATTGATCTCGCAGTCCATCAGTTTGCAGATGCCTGCTCACCCGGGTTCAACTGATCTTCCAGAACTGCGCCTCTCCGATTTCAGATCCCGCCGTGGCCGCTCTCAAGCCAATCAGGCAACGCCTTTGTCATGTCCAGATTGGATTTTGTCTTTGCAATGCTAAGCGTTCTAAGTATCTGTATGATGGCCTTCCTGCAGCCGACTTGAGCACTTTCCATTCACCACTTCTGGGCTCAAGTGGTGTAAGCCCATTCGTCCCACCACTGCGCATGGCGTCACCTTTGCGCAATGTGAGATTGCTCCACAAAACAGCCACCATGCAGGCTAGCCGACAATCAATCCTTTGAAGTACATTCCTCATTGCAAGCGCTTTCCACGTCAAGGTATGTTTTTCTGGATGTGGGAAGAGACTGTTGACTTGGCGCGTGCCAAATGGACCATGTGGGGACAGGTTCGGACTGCAAGTAATGAAAGCTGTCCTTGTTTACTGCTTGGAACACATGGACATCGTCGATCTGTAAACTTCATGAGCGGCATGTGTGTCGAGTTCGTGGAAGACCGGGTCTTTGATGCAGGAGGCCGTCCACGCAACAGCTTCAGTCTATCGTCATCCAGACCCTCCCTGAGCGTAGAGCAAAATGCACCTTTTCACGCCACTTGTCAGATTTGTTTGTGACCAACCGCTCAAACTCTCCTTGATCGCGACCATGGACCAGGAATTCCGTTCACCTTCAATATGAGCTAGTGTGCGCGCTCTCATTCCTCCACGATGAAAGCAGTTGGCCTCCTTTTGCTGTGGTAGGAGCACTTCGAGGGCACGTCTTTGACATAGCGCCTGAATCTCGACAGAATCTTCGGAGCTGAGCTGGCGGCCTACCTCACCTCCTTTGCGTGCCTGAACCGCTTCGTCGTCTTGCATTGCTTGAGCCTGTGGGCAAGATTGTCTTGAGCCTGCTTGCTCAACATGCATGTCAATCGGTCTTTTGAAAAGTTGACGTCCTTGCCGCAATGCGCCCATCTTCCACGCAGAGGCGCGAAAGGTGCCTTGCTTCGACTTGCCGCTCATTGTCGTCTAGTCAGGGACCCAATCAAAATTGCAGGATTCAGCGTGCCATACAATAACTCCTCTTGTGGTGGGAGGCGCAACTGCTCATTGAATGGCCTGAGGAGCTTCGAAGTCCCGGATCGATTGATAGAACTTCTCACGAGGCACGGGTTGTGTGATTGACGCTGGGCTTCACTCCACTAGGTTCAACTTGGCATTCAGGCTTGATTTAATTGAGTTGGGCTAGGCAAGCCCCCAATGTTTACGCAGACGACTGTCATGCATGCTGCCGCGCAGACCCTCTCGCAACAATATGTGTTCCTGCTGAGGAACTTTGGCGTGCTTTACTTGACCGTCTTATGGAGTATGAGCTTCGTATCAACCTCTTTGAAACCGTTGTCCTTGTTGCTGGGGGCGGTGTCGCAAATTTGGAAAAGAAAACAACTGTCCGGCAGAAAGACGGCTGGAGTATCTCCTCATACCGCGAAAGAATTCTGATCCAAGCCAAGCCGAGATGGTCCGGAAGATGGCGCTCTAGCCTATTTAGACTCCACGCAAGCTGGTGTGCGAACAAGCGCTTCAGCAAACATTTGCAGCGCGCGCAAATTTCTTGAGAAAGGTCAGCGGCTCTTTCTTCAGCAGTCTCACGCACGGACTTTTTGAAGTTGGGTTTTCCATGAATCGCGTCGTCAAGCTCTGCAGCCTGCCATTGAGCTCGCTGGGAAACGCCTTTGTAAGCCTTTGAGCGGCCACAGACTCAAGTTGTTAGAGTGGTGTCGCGCCACTGCGTGCGCGCGTCAGTACCCGCTTGAAGCTGAGGTTCGAGCTGCCTTTGAACTGGCGCATACTTCCAGGACTGCAGGCCTCCTTTCATAGTGCAGCTGCAGCCGTCCTGAATAGATGGCAGGAGTCACTGCAGTCTTGGATGTCAGATTGTGGCGCAGTTCTCCAAGAGTGTCTCGGGCGCTACTGGATTTTTTCGCAATGGCCAATGGTCTTTCGATTCTCCAGCGCGATCAAGAAAGGGACGCCATGTCTTGCCTGGAGCCAGGTTGACTGACCCCATCCACTACAACTACCAACGGACCTCTCGATGTATGTATGTTTTCCCTTTAAGTTACCTTCCACATTGCGCTCTCCTACCGCGCAGTGGATGATCTTGACCAATTTGGGGGGTTGGGCCCCTTTCGTGCTCAAGCATGTCAACTGGCCAGCTTCCTTAAAGAACGGCTCTGGCGCCGAAGCGCCTGCTGATCTCTCGAAACAACCACAAGTTGACGCAACAGAAATGTCTCGGAGGAGCTGCAGAGGGTTCCCAAGGTGAACCTCTTGCGGAACGCCAGGGCTCTCTTATTGAGGCGCGAAGACCAAATTCAGTTAATCTTTCCAGTTCGCTCCATCCTGAACCTGCTCAACAACCAGACCATCGCTCTTCTTAGAGGAGTCTTTGCTGATCCCTCACTGGACATTGCCGAATGCCACTCTATAGTCCGCGAAACTTCCTGGACGCTTCTCTGTGCCATGGGGTTTTCAGCCCACCGATCAGGGTGGCTCACGTGAGCGACTAACCATCAACTCGGCCACGCAGCTGGACAAAAAGGCGCTGGGTTTTGAGGAGATAGTCGGCTCCTGGGTGTACGCTTTGGGGATGTGTGCAGTGTTACTCCAACGACTGCAACTCATCCTTTCATTCGACATGTGACGGGCTTAGACCCTCGAATCGTGATTGCAGCCACGGTTCGGAGTCCAAGATGGCATCAGCTTACCATAGCAGCACTTGCTCTGGCCACTACACCGCTTTGCTGCGCATGGAAGATATTGGCCGCTGGCGGCCGCAGAAGGCAACCGTCCCCAATGGCGTTCACAGCTGGATCTTGGATAATGCCATTCTCTTCTTCCTCAAGCGCTGCCGTGGCACTTTCCCGGCCCCTGATCAAGATTCATTGAGTGGTCCGGATGATGCAGTGCTGAGCAACCTGTTGCAGATGCTTTTAGGATAGCCCTCATACGTTGCGTGAGCAATGTGGCGCCGCAAAGACGTTCCATTGTCTGCGCGCGGAACGTTGAAAAAGTTTATTTCATCAAAGATCAATCCTTTCGTGTCCACACATGTGTAGAGGCTCATCAGGCCACTGTCTTTGCTCTACTGCTGGTGTGACTGCGTCCCTCAATTTCTCAAGAAATCTTCTCTTTCTACGGGTTTTCGCGTCAACGAGTCAAAAGAGTCAAACAGGAAAAAAGGCAGACAAGAAACAAGGTGAAGCAATCACAATTGAAAAACAAACGCAGTGAAGCAACTTTGTCTGTGCAAGTGGCAGGAGTGACCCCACAGGGGCATTTGGCGGTGCTGACCACACCCCAATTCTGCGTCACAGGCCACCGTCCAGCTGAATGTCAGCAAACAAGGTTCTCCAAATGTGTTGTGGATCGGTTTTTGGCTTCATTCGTTTTGGTTGTGGGCTTGAAAGTCTCTTGAAACATCATAACTCTCGGCGAGCCAAATTCCTGGTTTGGTACATCCGGCAGAGCGAGGGTGGAGTTCCAACAAGACAAAAACGCATGAAAGTATTGGCAGACATTGGGACGAAGAGCTGTGTGAGGAGATTTGCGCTGTGGTGATTTGCAGTTATGTTGATTTGTGGTTTGGTGAAGTGCAATGCTTACGGTGTGTGACGGTTTGGATGTGTGTGCACTTGCCGATTTTGATACGCTGATTTGGGGGCCGGAATGCAATGAACTGGTGGCTTGCTTTTAGCTTCACTGCAAAAATGATTGCTAAACCATTTTCAGCTGGGCTCAAAATTTAGTGTTCAATCCTCTTGGGTTGACATTCTTTCCTCCCACCCACGAAAACCTTTGAAGTCACTGTGGACCTTGAGACTCCAAGACTGCTTCAGTTGTGCGATGTTTTGTGCGCACCTGGTGTTTTGCTTGGCGATGCTAATATCTTTTTTATTGGACCGTAGCAACCACAACCAAAATATGTATGTCATTGCCAGTGTTCATTTGGTGCACTGTGCTGCCGTTGCAATAAATGAGCAGCGACCAACCAAGATCGAGCCTCTTACCCCACGAAGTTCTCTAAGGAAACGGGAAACGCGTCTTTTTCTGAGCAGTGTGCTCGCGTCCGCTTGGCAGTCTGATTGCCAGTCTGCTGCGCCACGCCACTCTGTGGGGTTGACCTGTGTCAAGGCTCCAGACGAGGGGAGGATCAAGCCTTTCCTGGCCTAACGTGTCCTAGAAGATTTATTGCTCGATGGTAGTTGCGATTGATTCCTTGAGAAGGAGTCATTGTATTTAGGAATGTCCCTGGCTGCTTGCGCAGATTCAACGGGCAGATCCAGAGTACTCCAGCAAAAGATGCGCGTTCATCAGGGGCTGGGTGATTCGCTTGTCGAGGAGTCGGCGCCAATCAGAGCGCCTCATATTGCCCGGGCAGCGACTAAACTGCGCGCCTGTGTGGTGCGGAGCAGCTTAGAGATCTGGACTTGCTGGACTAACGTGCTGAAGATGGGCCGAAAAGGGCGTCCGCTAAGCGCTGGATCACAAGGATCATTCGGAATACAGCTTTTAGCCAGTCAAGTGGACACGCGTGTGGTCCCCAGCTTCATATATCGTTCAATGTGACGACGGTGTGTGCGTGTGAAACCCTTGGAATCAGAGGGCGTCCTTTGAAGTTGTTTGCCGATTTCGGAGCGGCAAACCGCAATCAAGTCAGTACCATTCAGTACCCAATCTTTTAAGTGTAGCGCGGGCCTCAAACCTCGTTGCGATGGCCTCTACCTACTAGCGGTGACCTCCAACCTTGATTGTTTTGCGTTGCCGCAACTCACCTACTAGCGATGGCCACCCAACCTGCTTGCGATGGCCTCGTCTTACCTTGTGTTGGCCTCCAACCTAGATGTAGCTATGTGTGTGTTCCTTCTGTAGTTTCCATGCCGGTTGCCCTGGGCCGGCGCGTCCGCTGTGTTTTGGGCTTCCAACCTTGTGGTGATGGCCTCCACCCACTAGTGACGCCCTCCAACCTTGAATGTTTGCAGTTGCAGGTCACTAACCTACTAGCGATGACTACCCACCTACTTGTAATGGCAACCTACTTGTGCTGGCTTGTGATGGCCTCTAACCTAGATGTAATGGCCTCCAGCCTACTTTGTCTACCCTGGCGCCTTAGGTAAAACTTAGGCCGGCGTGTGGCAAACCGCATCTGTGTCCGTACGCATTTCCTAAGTGTGTGTGTGTGTGACAAGCTAGGTTCCATGCGCAATGCGCACATTCCTCCTTGGAGGCCGTCGAAGGGCTTGACAAACATGTATACGGTTGATTCTTATTTCGCAGGCTCTGCAGGTGCCCGCTTGGCTCAACGTGTGCAATAACTGCCAAAGAACTAAGTGTTCCTTTTCGAAGGTGCTCCAGCAGGTTGTGCGAGGGCCCCATGGTGGTGAGTTTCGCATTTGCGCGGCCGCGATGTGGCACTGTCGTGTTGTGCGGTATGGGGTCAATGCCGTCGCGTTGTGTTTTCGAGCGAAAGTAATGTGTGAGAAACCGTGTGCGAAAACAGTGACGCGAAACAGTTTTATTTGTGGTAAGATCAAGTGGCGTGTGATGCGGTGACGGTTCCCGACAAACCCATCCTCCTGTTTTCTCTTTTTGCAAACCATCGTTATCAAAATTTGCGCTTGAAACCTTGGCCATTTTTGCATGCCCTTTGGTAGAAACTGTTTGTTCTGTTCTCCGCGAACTTCCTTCTGGACGTTTACTCAACTTGTGAATTTGAAAAAACAAAACACACCACTTCCATTTGTGCCATGTCTCTACTTTGGCGGAAATTTCTTGTGCGCGATTCAATCGTGAGGGCTGCTCAACTGGACAAACTTTCAAATGGCAGCGCCGCTGAACCTGGTGCTCACGCCACAGCACCGTTGCTAGAGGATTTGAGCATTTGGATAGTGAACACGACAATGAGCACTGAGCTTCCGGCGGTCAAGCGTTTATTCTTTTGGCCGCCCTTAATTAAGTAGGCGCCTACTTTTAATTTAGTAAAGGAGAAGCCTGCTAACTATTTAGACTACTACATATGGACTTCTTCAATCAAGATCCCCACGCCTGAGGGCGGGGGGAGCTTCCTCGAGGAAGCGCTCGCGCCAATAATTTGGTTCCTAGTTTTTGTAGGAACACTTAACCTTGGTTGGAAAAACAGGCTCCTCAGTTTGCTATTGATTTCATCTGGGAAACTGAGACTGTCCTTCTATAGTTTTGACTTGACTGGATTGAGCATGTTCATTCGCGGCCATCTAGGCTGTGGTAGGTGTGAAGGGCTGGACGCCCAACGGACACAACGACCATCGCCCGAGCGGAAAGGCGGCAGCGGCGCTTTCGTGGTTAAAGGGGTGACCACACGTGAACTTTGTCAGAGGGAACCAGTAGCGGAGCCCGGTGTGGCTACTGCGTGAGAGAATGGCGGATGGAGAGAAGAGGTCGGAAGGCCTCACCAGGAGCAGGGCTTACCTGGTGGTTCAGAAGGCGTGGTGGGGATACCTGATGCTGCGGTTTGACCCCTGCGGCCCTTCGGACGACCTATCTGGCAGGCCTCCAAGCAGAATGCCACGTACCGGGTCGATCCTGAAGACCCCATGGATGAAGCATCGCAATCAGATGAGGATGCCTTTTGAGCGAGGCGGGCTACGCCCCAGAGGATGAAGTTGAAGAACAAGATGCGGTAGACGCCCTGTTGACTTGGAAGCAAACCCGAAGCCGAAGACAGAAAGACTGTATCGACCTGTTTGGCCCGGACCTGACGTTCGTGAGCCCTCCCTGCGGTCCTTTGTCAAGGCTTCAAAACTCCACACCACCTTGGCGCAGTTCAAGAGAGAAGTGATCGAAGCCAAGGCAATGGTGGCGTGGTGTGCCCGCATCGCTCGAGGCCGGATGAGGAAGGGGCGCTTATTCCTCTTCGAGTCATCCAAGACATGTGCATCGTGGAAGGAACCTGGAACTCACGAAGAGTTTCCAGTGTGATGTGTGTGAGGCCCGGAAACAACCCAAGGCGGTGAAGGACAGCACCATTCCAAAGGATCTGGCCCCCTTAGATACATGGGTGTGGACGGTGTGGATGTCAAATGGCTACCAACTTGGAAAAAGGACATGCAGATCAAAGCCTTCAATGTAGTGTGTCGAGCCTCTGAATTTCAGCAAGTCACGAAAGCTAGCGAAGCTAGCTGGAGTTACTCTTGCGATAGCAAGGTTTCTTTCGACCGGGTGCAAATCCTAACCCCTGATT